GTCTTATGTTATACAAATACAATAATATCGTATCGGTATCGGATAAGTCAAATGAACTATCGATTAAAATAGTAATGATGCTCCCAAACGTCACATGAGACTGAGTAATTTACATATTAATATACACCGACTTACAAGACAACAACTAACGACAATGTATTATGAGGGTCAGATATCAATAGTGTTACAAACATATATGAGGCTTCCCATGTGATTCATGTGATTGTAACACGCAATAGTATACGTATTAATAAGCTAATACTAATCATACGCCCGCTACCAAAAGTCTTCAATACCCCTTGAAATTTACCAGTAAAACATGTAAAAAACTTTTTCTTCTAAAATCTCGTTAAGAATATTTGGCAGAAAAAGATAGCTAATTCGACAGCGTTGACTTTAATCTTGTCGTTGTCGGTATTCACATATAGCACTATTCATATTAAAAAACTTAACTACATCCAACATTCACTGCACACTGCTGAAAGTCTAATAACACGTTTCAACTATGAACAAAATTGCCGTTATATGTGCTGTTGGTGCGTTTATCATTGGCTGTTATTATTATTATGAATGGTATAAAAATACTGCCGAACAAGGAGATGCCAGCACTCAATTTTATATTATTGTAATGCAGTGGCTTATGGGTGTAAATGTCTTTTTGCAACTTTGTATGGCTGCGTATCAGCTCTATTACCATTAACTTGGGGATGAAAAAAAAAGCAGTTAAACTGGATGACATTGCACAGTTTAATCTTGGTTATCGTTATGAAAATGGAATTGGAGTAGAAAAAGGCAGTTGAATTGTACAAAAAAGCCGCTGAACAAGAACATGCTCAAGCACAATGTAATCTTGGTAGCTGTTATGAGTTTGGAACTGGGGTAGAAAAAATGAACAAAAGGCAGTTGAATGGTATCAAAAAGCTGAACAAGGACATGCTCAAGCACAATGTAATCCTGGTGTGTGTTATGATAATGGAACTGAGTAGAAAAAGATGAACAAAAGACAGTCGAATGGTATCAAAAAGCTGCTGAACAAGGACATGCTCAAGCACAAAAAAATCTTGGTGTGTGTTATTATAATGGAACTGGAGTAGAAAAAGATGAACAAAAAGCAATTGAGTTATAATAAAACATGCACATATGTCAATACAAGTTGAAAATAATAGTCATTATAGCAGTATGGAGGATTAAAAAATTAAAATTACTTATGTAGTAGATTTTTTATCAATTACAGTACTAGTACTAGATGAAGAAAGAAATCCTTATGCACAATGTATTCTTGGCTTGTATTATGAAAATGGAATTGGGGTAGAAGCAGACATGAAAAAGGTACTTGAGTTATTATTATATGAAAGAGCAACTGAACAAGGATATAGTAAAGCATGAAATAAAGTGTACGCTTATTATGCAAATGAGTTGTATAAAGGTATTAAAAAGAATGCTTGGCAGATTAATAGAATATTAGTATTACATAAGTTTGTAAAGTATGACTAATAAACAATTTTTATTAACAAAATACATGACTCTAACTCTAAAATTTATTACTTTTAAAAATGCCTTCTCAGCTCCTGGTTGTTATAAGCAGCCAACCAATTACAATCAGTTATTTCCACAATTCTGTAATATTGACTATGTAAAAGAGTATGAAAAGTTTGCAAGAGCTGAACATGCTCCAAGACCAAAGTCGATTGGATTTGAACTGAAAAATTTCTTTAAATGGTAGCAACAAACTACAATTTTAATTATCATTTTGCCATCAGCAAAAGATAGATTGATCAGCAGACTATTCTGACAATGGCCCGCTGATTAATACGACACAGCTTTTAGTGCTAATTGGCTCACATGAACCGGTTTGCAAAGACGGGATTATTCAGTTCTTTAAGAGTTATGAAAATGAACGCGTTTTCGAAAAATAATCATGGAACCTCTCAAGGAAATTTTAGATAAAAAAGACAGGCTTCGATCGTTCAGTCATAATTAAAGCTAGCGAAAAATGTGTTAGACATCGCAATGCGCGTATATAATCTGATAGGCGCGTTTTCCTGATCTTCGATTCTGCAATAATAATGACGCCTTATTACCATGATGAAATGGGCATAATCGCAAGAAAAGTGAATATGTATGCGATGGGAGAGGCAGGTAAAATCTGCTTTGGTATATTATGAGAAACAATCAATAAATATAAATGCATCTTTCATTTGAGTTCAAATTCTAACAGAATGTAATCACTTTTCACTGTCAGTTCTATTCCATTCTCGCAGTATAATAATGACCGCTATCTCTTACTATTGGTTCTTTTTTACGACTGCTATGAACAATGGATTTACATATCCAGACGGCACAGGGTTGCTGCAATTGCGTCGTTGTCATAATGGTTTATATGAAAACAATTTATATATACGCCTGCTATATCCAAATGGCACGTTAACTAAATTTACTGTGCCAACATTACTAACATACAAAGTTGATAAATACAAACCACATGCTTTCCCGCTTAATAACGGATACGTGTTAGTAACGCAGGTAAACCTATGTATGGAATGTTGGTCGACTGGAGTGGCCAGGTGTTAGAAAGGTAAGGTTTCCTTGGAGCAAGAGCATTTCTAAGCTCTCGTAAGAAAAATTTTCTTCCTGGCTCTTTAGACAATGATGAGGGGGACATTGGTAGGTGAATTGGAAACTCGGTATGTATTCTGTATTCGTGAATAGTGATGTGAGGCTTATCGATGGTCTTATCGATGCTTTATATCAAACACTTGTAAAAACCAACGTCAATCCTGATAAAGACTTTATTGTAACAACATTGATCAATACGAATGAAGTTCTATGGAAAATTTAGTGCACCGTGAGTATAGGCATTATGGCAATTACAATTTAAACCCGGATTAATTAAACCATCTCCCGCTTCACTTCTAAAATAGCAATATCACGGGTCAAATAACCCAACTGTACAATGGCAGTGTCACGAGACATGATGGCAATTTACTGCGGCGGTTATGGCATAGCCGTTTTAGAAACCCCCGATCGGCAACTTGAAAATCCACTCGTCTCTAAATTACAGTATTAGTTGCAAGAGTATCAATGGTATAGCCACGAGTCTCTGACTCATCACAATGTAAGTTTATCTGTTCAGGAGCATCGTCGTTTCAATAGAAGTGTTGTATCATTTAATTTAGATGCGGAAGCATCAGCGGAGCTGGCACGGTCATTACATCGTAATATAATATAATTGCTCCTTTTTGTCGGGCTGTAACTGTTTCTGATCTAATTCGCAACCCTAACTTTAAGTTTGGCATTTTTCGAAGCGGTATCTTTATCGTTCTGCTTGCTCCAGTTTCATAAATCTGGATTCATGTTCTTCCAAAAGCCTGTTTTAATTTTGCATTCTCAGTGATGTTCTCAGACTTGATCTCAGTGTTTTCCCGTCCAAGTATATCATTCTCAGCTACAAGCTTGGAAATTCGTTCTTCTAATGAATCGACTTTGGATTGTTTGTTTGTCATTTTTTATATTTTATAAAAATATCAATTCTTTATCGTGTGTTAATGTAAACTCATTTGATGAAATTTCAGCGAACAATGTTCGTCAAAAATGCCAAAAAAAAAAAAAAAAAGATACATGAAAAACTTTATTTCCGTATCAGACCAATCAGTTGATAATGTGTTATTATATTTCGGGATAATCGTTACATGATCTGCTGTATTTCGGTATGAAATCTATTTCGGGGTGTGTGATCTACAGTATTTCGAGCATGTGTGATCTATTTCGCGTGGACTTCGGTTCACGTGGGCGTATGATCGTTGAGGAAATCCGACATGTGTGCTTACAAACATCGTGCATACGGTTTAATTTTCCAGCAGGCTTGACACTTGATCATGTGCCCGATAAATAATGAAAAATCGACCTCAGGCCATCTTTATTGAGATAAATCTAAAATACAAGATAGAAAAAAAATAGATATAACGAAGTCTAGCTATCGCCTCGTGGGGTGGAAACTGTAGTACTATCTTCCATATGCCTTTGCGGTGTGGAGATAGATGCGTGATATAGGAAAGATAAATCAGTAATTACTATATTACGTAAAAGTAACAACAGGATCTTTTGTTCGAGAAGAATTGATGGTCATCAAGAATGTTGAATACCCTCCTCAGAGAATACTCAAGAATTGAGCCATTCATTAAGCTCCTCATTTATTTCTTCTTCAGTGCCAAATGAATTTTTTACTATATTATAACATAAATTCATAGTATTTTTGAATAGTTTTCGAAGGCTTACATAGCCACAACCTGCTTATGAAACGTATTCCACAATTCTAAGCAAATCAAAGCTTTTGCACAGTATTTTACTAATATTCCTTGAATCCACTACCCTTCGAGCGCTATACACTTGTTAAACATGTCGGAGACGAAGTGTTGCACAAAGTGCGAAGTTTACAGAAGCAACCAGATTCCGTTCAGTAAAGGGAAACAAATGGGAGTGAAGCCAAAAGAGCAGGTTTGGTAAAGGTATCATGGGAGAAAAGCGTTGTTTATGTAATACTTGTTATATGCAGTTCATAGAGAATCCCTTGAGGCCAAGTAATAAACGAATGAAGGTCATGAATGAGGAAGAGTTCAAAGTTTCGACTGAAATGGAGCTCGCTGATGCCATCAAGGTGATGCAAAAGCACTTCACGAGAGGGAATATGGTGAAAAAAAAGAAGCAGTCGAGGCGCGCGTGAAAGAACGTGTCAAGAAGAAGCAAACGGACTGCGTTATCCAGGTAAACTCTCAATTAACTCATTTTTTATATATAACGCGTGTGGAAGTTTACAGGTCGCCTCTTCTTAATAGACTATTGGGCAAGAGATCCCAGTTGTGGTGGATTGGGACATATACTTCATTAAGAAAATGCTCAAATTGCACATCGGGCGTTGTCTCAAGAACTAGACATACTCATGAAAGTTCCACAAGGAAGCCGCAGACATGAGAAGGCGTTAATGTTGCGCACTTCTCTTAAGGTCAGTATTTTGTTTGTTTCTTTAGGAAATTCCCAATGGATGGACTTGTGAAGACATGCCCCGCGACCTGCGTCTCGATTTCGGGTAGACCTGCGCCTTTACCTGGATGGGGAAGAACGCACATGTAACCATGTTGGGAATTCTCGGCCACTCCCCGCGACTGCGTCTCGAGCGATTTCATCGCAGAAGGCAAATATGCGCCCTTGCCCGAAGTGGGAGGTGTGTTTGTGTTTTCAGGCTTTGGGCTCAAAGCACATCCACACACGGCTGAGTGTGATTTGAGATAGTGTAGTTTTATCATAGACATAGTATAACAACAAGTATATGCTTATAATTTGCTTAACTTTTTATACTATTGAGAAACGGAAACCGAAGGAATAAACGGATCAATAACAAAGTCAATGAACTCTGGCAAAAACACTCCGAAGAATTAAGGGACTGGCCATCCATAATCGAGTTAGCAAGGTATATTTACTTTTCCTTTGTGGATTTATCTGCTTATGATCTTGATGATATCTACATGTTTGATTGTTGCAATATAGGAAGAGATCAAAACAGTATCCTTGGAAGACGTAGCGAAAGAGTGTACTATGGATAAAGTTCATTTACTTCGTTATTCCGTAACTGATGCGCGTCAGATACAGAAGCAAGTTTCTTCAGTAATCAATGAAGAAATATTTTCTAAAAGATTGACTATCTAGAATCTTAAGCAAACATAATCTAATAAATACCAAAAATTCTAGCTGAATTACATTTACTTATCTGTATTAAAGTTTCTAGTTATTATCTATATCATAGTCATGCAATCGAAGAATTGAGAAAGCAAGACAAACATTATATTAGTCATTATCGACGCCTTCATGCTTTAAGATTTCAGAAACAACTCTTTCAGCAGCTTGTACTGCTCCAGAAATATACCCTATGTCTTGGGTTGCAGTCTCAGTACCTGTTCAAAGGATTGTGGAATACGATAAATGCTATGCATTAAAATGAGAAAATGCACCTGTCAATTGACTTACCAGCAAAATGCATTCGCCCAATCGGGTTTCGGAATGCTTCGCCATAATAAATTAGCGTTCCTGGCGGCTAAAAAATTGTTGAAATTAATATTTGAAACTTTATTGTTATTATAATCAAGTTAATCCATTTTGCTTACACATAATGCAGATGGAGCTCCAGCACTCCATTCGTCCAGCAGCCAATTCTTCTCAATATAATCAATGGGATGAGCGGCCTGATCATATGAGAATATTTGAGCCACTTGACTAAGAATTCGTGGTTTGGTTTTTTCATACGGATGCTGATCGAATGAATAAGAGAAGACATTACAAATCAAATAATTGGTTGGCCATTTTAGCAAACATATACACGTGCCGTGACAATCAACGATTATAATATCACCTTGGTGTGTTCAATTGCATGCTTCCCAGTAATAAATACTAACAAGGCCGTAAGAGAAGCATCATCGTTACAACCGTCGACAATCTAATATATGATAAATTCTTTTTAATAATTATAGTATCTAGCGATTTCAAATACATAAGAACGGTCTTACCATTGAAATAGGAGATAAATCCTCTCATGTTTAATTTCTGGAGATTTGTCAAAACAAAGGATTTCTCCACTAAAACCATTCTCTCTCCACCATGCCTTTTCATAAACCAAAGCAATTTTAATATATGCTGGCATAAACATCTTTTCGCACAACTACAAGGAGGGAGGGACGCGGAAGGATGAGAAGAGCATTTCTAATAGTACATTGGAGAGCCATTCCTACAGATAACAACTTCAATCGGTATCTAGCCTACCTTAGCTCTGGCCAATCCGACAAATGGCTCGATAGAAATCGTAGCCTGCGCAGTGGGAGGAATAGCCACAACTACATAATCGCCATCAAACTTGTAATCTCCAGAATACACTTCTACTTTGTCCTTGTGGTTCTTGATTCGCGTAACTGGACGTTGGAAGAAAATACATCCTTCAGGTAATTTGCGTTGAAGACTCTCGGGTACTTGGTATGCTCCACCTTTAATCTTGAACTCTTGTGCACCATCTCGAGTTTCGGACAGGTTCAAGATGCCTTGTTTGTTTACGAGTATGAAGATATGCCGATCGAAATGACCAAGCATTTACGCAATATTGTTTGCTCTTTTTTCCTTACCACCCCCAGCCTTGATTACACTCAGATAATGTAACAATGAGACTTCATTTCCTTCAGCGCCCAATATCATTCTTATAGCACAATCGTAAAGTTCTTTGACTGTCTTACTGTGCACATTGGAACTAATCCATTTGTCAACGGTTATTGAATCAGATACGTTGCATTTTCTACAGTATTGTTTGAGCCGAAAGGCGAAAGGATATAGTTAATATAGTAAAGACATCATCATTAGAATGTACAAAATATGTATAGAATCTCCCATACTCGACTTCTGATGGTGATCGACGTCGATGCCTTTGCTCAATTTGTCGGTCGCAGAAATTCCATTAAAATGAAGATCCAATAAGACTAGAAAGTATATGTAATGGTAATTATAATGAACAACCGATTAGTATTAGTTAGAGCCGTAACCATTTTTGGAAACCACCTATAACTTTTTCGTTACGAAAAATATTCAAAGGGGGAATCGTGGCCTTAAACTTTCTAATGGGTTTCCCTCTCCAGTGGACAGTAATTCTCTGAGCGTATTGCGGATAAGTTTCCAACTCAAGTTCGTTCAACAAGTCCAAAATGTGGGCTTTTGAATCTTGCCCACCCATTGGCCTATGGACAAAAAAGAAAATTGACAAGTTTTGCCACAAGTCTATTGAATAGCAATACTCCCCGCTCTTTCTCTTGTTTGAAGCAGGGTCCTCATCACTTACCTCCAAGATCAATTCTCTTGCCATCACTAAGTTGAGCGCCATAAACCCGTCCACTTTAAGTCATACGTGTCTATCAGTGATTGATCAGTGAATAGAAGAATTCCTAAAAGCTTTGACATACACAATAATTACTGTTTTCTGAGAAGACTTCGTCATAATGGAATTAGGCAGAAGAAGATACTCAATGCGAGTTTGAGTTCCACAAAATATGAGTGGTCTTCATATCTGTAACTGCTGTATAGTTACAGTGCAGTAATCGACTTATAGTAATAAAACAATCTGACACTAAGAACAATGTACCTTGTCGACAGAAACCATTCAGCTAAACATCAAAGAGTCAAATAAAATCAAGCCTCTTTAAACTCTTATATTTTCAATTAATGCAATTGCTGTGCCATAGAAAAAGGGAACTAGTTCCCGCGTCTAACGCAATATTATATAGTTTTGCGATCATCAGCAGAATGGTTAACGCGATTATCTGAATTTACCTATAATTTAGTAATTTTTGGATTGATACATAGTCAATCTCGATAAGTCGGCCCAGGTGGGCTGGGCTATTTTCGGCCGAATTATCGAGAGTACGTGACCTAAACGAATATAAATGAATTAATCTGTTTCTTTCTTATTTGATTTTGTAAGTCTCTTATTTTTTAATATTAAAGTCGACACTTTCTAAGCCGTTGGAAATCACGCGAGGCTGACTTATCGAGGTAGATACAACTATGACCAGTTTTTTGAGCCGTTGGCCAACTTACAGCTTATCGAGAAATTATGTAGAATGACCGACTTATTGAATATTTTTAAATAGTCCGAAAATAGTACAGGAATCTCAACAGATCGTAAATGGTAATATCGGTGTACATTAACCATATCACGTACGAGAAGATTCGGGTGTAATATTGCCTGCCACTTGCATATCTCGCGTAAGTTTTTTGTTATAGTCAAGTAGATGCTGGCGAAAACTTTAAGTTTGTTCATAACCCGGCGATTGTTTTCTTCCTCGTGATCACAGGTGAAATTATCGGTTTGAACAGTATTATCAGTAACACATAAGCCGGTTAATAAACTTTTTATTAATTCGTTTTTGGCAATTATTATCTTCCAATTTCACAACTCTAGCTTTAAGCTTAACATTTTCAGTTTATTTTTGATGTTCTCAGCCTCAAGCTTGAATTGGTTTATCTATTTCAGAATGCATGCTTGTGTAATGTATAGTAGCGTGACTTAGTTAAATTGCGCTAAAAAAGTCGTTTAAAGGAAATTAATCGGAAATTGATAAAAAGAATTGTCACAAGAAATCATATGATAAATAATCGCCTTATGGCTAATTTCAATACACTTGTACTCCCAGCGTTTATAAAAACAAATATCCTTATTATTATACGATAAGATACATTGTACATTTATATCCCCAACCCGTTATATTCCCACTTTGAGGCGAACCGAAAGGGGAGATATAAACGAGGTACGAGTGTATTATAAAATAAATTATACTTATCGTAACCGGAACTAAATGGGTTGTTATGAAAGAAGCATCGATCTTTTTTAATTATTTATGTACTGTACGACTTACTTTCATAATGAATGACAAATAGAGCCATTCATAGCACACATGGTAATGAAATATATAAAATACCGCCAAGTTATCCTTAAGTCTAATTAACTTTAACGTAATAACAATAATAATATAATGATAACTTTTTGTGGAATCTTTTTCTTTGTCATTCTTCTTTGGACAGCAGTAGTCTCGCCCACGCCAATTTTGAACCGGGGCTATGAACCAACACAAAAATATTTTGATTTCACTATGAAAAAAGTTACTTTGGCTCCAGATGGGTTTACTCGTCAATTAACAACCGTTAATGGACAATATCCTGGACCAACCATAGAAGTTAACAAAGGCGATCGTATTTTGTTGAAAATTAATAATAAATTGGGAGAACCAACAGGTAATTTGCAACAAATATTTTCCCATGTTTTATGAGTTGTACGTGTTTTAAACGCATATCGCAAATGAAATATTAGCTATTCATGCACATGGGATGCTTCAAAGAGGGACTCCTTGGTATGTAATTTGTTTTTACCAGAGTTAATTTTTCCAACGACCATACTAATTTCACATTCTATTATATAGGTTCGATGGAGTACCATGGATGGTGAGTCTATGAAAAAAACTGATTCGTATAATTATATTCTTTCAATATTGACCAATCGTCGATTGACACGTACTGTCAGGCTCAATGCGTTATACCAGACAATTACGAATTTACCTACAATTTTACTGTTCCTGTCGAAGTTGGCACTCATTGGTAGTGAGTATTATGAGACCAAAAAAAAACAAACAAAACAACCATTTAAATACCTTTGTACTCACCGTCTATATATAATGTTTTTTTAGTCATGCGCATGAAACGATGCAATATGTTGATGGAGCTTTTGGCGCGTTAAGTAAGTTATTTAATTGTTTAATTTAAATCGACTTTTTTTTTTAATTCTTCATGACTTCTCTATTTAATTTATTAGTTGTTCACGATCCTGATGATCCGTATAAAGCGGAATATGATGAGGAAATTATTGTCATGTTGAATGATTATCATCATACCAATGCACAAGTTTTATTAAAACAATTCTTAACTCCTGAAAGTAAAGGAGAAGTGGTAAATTTACGTTTTGAAGCTTTTTTAATTCGAAATTCTTAAATTTATATTAATTCATTCTCATTATATAATAATAGCCAGGTAAGAAAGATTGATACAAGTACAAAGGTACAACCGCGTGATGTTAATGAGAACGATTCCTACACCTGCAGTTCCCGATAACGGTTTGATCAATGGAAAAAATAAATTCGATTGCTCCAAGGCCCCACTGGGTTCGAAATGTGTGGACAATGCCGGTCTTGCCAAATTTGAATTTGTTCAAAATAAAAAATATCGCCTTCGTATCATTAATGCTAGGTACAGTAATCTACGTCATATTATGCAATTCAAAAAAATTAAAAGTGACTAATGTTTTTATTCTTCTAGCGCATTTTCGTCATTCTTGTTTTCTATTGATCAACATGAAATGGAAGTTATAGAAGCAGACGGTGAATATACTAAGCGAACAAAAATCCATCATCTTCCCATCAATGTCGCCCAAAGATATTCTGTTATTGTTACCGCAAACCAACCGGTCGATAATTATATAATGCGTTCTGAATTTCGAAAGAACTGCATGCCAGAAGCTGCAGCTAGTCTTCCTACTATTAAAGCTATAGTACATTATGAAGGAGCCCCCGATGGTCCTGAACCAAAAGACAATCCATGGCCTAATCCTTTGTCAAGATGCGTTGACATCACTTTACAACCACTTAAAGAAGAAAAGATTCCCGAAGCAACGAAAAAATTGGAATTTACGATTGATTTTCATAAGAATGCAACAGGCGTCGTTAAAGCTTTTCTTAATGAATCGACTTATATACCCGATATAAATTTCCCGAGTTTAGACAAAGTCTTTAAAAAAAAACCAATTAACGAAACTAGTGCAAATGCCTATGTTTTTACTGAAAATGGAGAAGTAGTTGATATTTATTTCGTCAGTAAGTATAATTAATTAACAATTGTATAAAAATTTTTCAATTTTATGATTTTATTAACAAATAATTTTTTTTAGATACTGGCGAGGGCGAACATCCGTTTCACATTGTATGTAAAATTAATTAATCGACATAAATGATTTAAAAATTAACTTTTTCTTTTCTAAAAACTTAGCATGGATACCAATTTTGGGTACTTGGAACCGGACGCGGATATAAAGTTGATAAAAATGCTTTGAATACACATAATCCAATCAAGCGTGATACTGCAACAATACCTGCCTTCGGGTAAGAAAAATTTCGCGTTTTTTTTCACCAATGACATACAATGGGTGACAAATTGTCCCATTAGGAAGATGAAAAACAGACTAAACAGAGGCGAATATAATTTTTTTTCTAGATGGATTGCCATCAGATTTGTTTCCGACAATCCTGGAGCCTGGGGAATACACTGTCACATGATATGCTATCGTTTCATTTCGTTTTTGTTCAGTATATTAATATTGCTTTTTTTTTTTTGCCAAGTTTACTAACTTTTTTTTTCCCTTTCCTTTCCTTTCATTTTTTTTACGAGGTATGTAAAGTTTTTTGTTGATACATGAAAAAATGAGTATGATTCTGATTTTAAAACTTTTATTTTTATAGTGGCATTTGGAATCTGGTCTTTTGATGCAGTTGATCACACTTCCAGATGAAATCTTAAAAATGCAACCTCCGAAAGAATGGACCAAATTGTGTGAATTAGGTGAACGTTAGATTAACATACTTGAACAATATTTGGGTTATAGTTAATAATTTATATTTAAAATAAATATTATTATTATTATAATATTTAATATCTTATTATTTGTAACTATGATAATGAGTTTCTCGTGTTGTGATATCATTTTCCAGTTGTTATCAAAATAATAACAAAAACGAGGGAAATTGACACAAAAACAACCCCAACGACTCGGTCTACAATCAGCCTCAACTCATTTTGCGGAATCTATGGATTTTCTTCCAAGCCTTGGTGAACAACGGAGGTGGCATTTATATGGCGTTCCTCGGCATTTATCAAATTTGGTTTGTAAATTAGCAGACATATTGATTAGTCGAGTTCGAAGAAACAGGAGCTTTGTTATATTGCAAGCGACAAACAGCAACAACATAAATATACAGTCCTTGTAAAACGTTCTCTCCGCTCATTTTCACAAAAAAAAATGCAACCAGCGGGTCACACGATTACATCATGCATAAAAAGTTCCATGGCCTAATTTATTCTGTGGCGTGCGTGTTGTGTGTCGGTTGGAATTTATGTCCATTCGGATTATGTCAGATCATAAAGACAATCAGGTAACAACATTATAAAATCATTTTATTAAGATTACAGTATTAACTCTACCGCATATAAACATGTTATGATACAAAGAACGATGTACTAATTAATATTACTGCATTGACGATTATGAGGGTGGCAGTTTAAGTTACAAATGACAGCAAGCTTTGCGACAAGCACATTGAGCCGTTGAACAGCTAGTCTTACTACATCTAATCCTGTTTAAATTGACCGAACTTTGAGCCAAAGTGGCTTTATTATTTTGACAGAATGCTTTAAGTTAGTAATTGTCTTTCTACTTGTAGACAAATACAGTTGTGAGCAAACATCGTCTGATCTGACATATCATTGTGAAAGAATGCTTTCAGTTACAGAATACGTTAGCGAATAGTCCTTCTATTGGTGCGGAGATGCAAATACAATTGTGAACTGACATATCATTGTGAGTTACCGAAAAAGAACTGAAAAACGAGAGTATTAAAATGGCGTAATATGCTTTGAGTTACAAATACGTCGGCGATTCCTTTGATTTATGCGGAAATATCGCCTGACTGACATTACCATTGTGAAAGAATGCTTTGAGTTGCTGAATACGTTAGTAAAATTTCCCGTTCGGTGGATATTCAAGACTTAATATTAACACATTTACCAGCCAACTTAACCAAATTTGGGCTAAAATACGGACAGATCGTGTGAAAATTAACAACTGCGTTTTTCGATTTAGCGGTAGCTACTACCAACCCTTGTAGAGGATTTGGTTTAATTGATAAACAGAATAGTAGAACAGCAGTGTACTGTTCACTATCGCCATTGTTATTATGCATTTATTGTTTGATGAGTTGAGTTATCAAATAAGTTTGTGCTAATCACACAATTTGACGACTGGTGTGTGGTTTCTGATGAAGGATTCAACCATACGCGACTAGTCCGTATGTGCGTTCCGATTTTTTTACTATAGCTTAATATTACAGATGTAAAATAATACGAATTAGATGTGACATAGTCTCGAATCTATGCTTCTAATAATAAAATATGCGAGATAGAGTTCAACCATTTTCTGTCATATATAGAGATCTCATTAGTTAATGTTTTTATTATTATGGCAAGACGAGCAAATAAACTTATCTTTTTCTTTTGGATATGAGAAATAATTGAACATATAATATAATTCTAAGTATTTATATACCTATTGAAATGCTAACACTGCTAATTCGCAGATTAGTAATTTGAAATTATTTTGCGATTTGTTAGTTACATGAATCTATATCCAGTGAACAGTTACGCATACCTAACTAAGCTACTTCCGTACGCAGATCGAAGGTGAATATTAGTATTAATTGGGTTAGTTAGAAGATCGATTGATTATTTTGAATTGGTCTACTACCACTATTCATGGAGGTTAATACCCACGTTTGGAATTATTGTCGGAGATTGTGATATTAATACTAACTTCAGTTATTTCATTGTAAAGCGTGGGGCTACCCATGACTTCTTCGGATAGCTCGTCAAAATCTTATTATTATGATGAATCACATGTCGAGCAAATTTCGGAATCGCAATCTACCCCAATTCCTGAAACAGACGTACAACCATAGACCCTTTAGTGGAAGATACCATTAAAGTAGGCTCAAAGAGCCATTGCTCTGCAATAGATAAAAATTCTACAGATAAGCAATCACTATCACTCAGTTCATCTATTGAAAAAATAAGCTTGGCAGAAAATAATACTAAACGAGCCAAGGTGGAAGAAATTACGAGCTGGTACCAATATAGAAAGCATTTCGAAAAAAGACTTGATGATATTTTACCCTAATCCTAACCTATCCTCTAACCCTAACACTAACATGTTTAGTTAAATCGACGTCAGACGATACTACCATATCGTATGCACTATATGTTTAGCTTTATATAGCAAGGGGAAACGTGTAAACGGAAAGAATGTTCTATAATAAATTACCGGTAATATACCAACGGCACCAACCACGATCTTAACCTTATACTTCACAGAGCTGATCAAGAAGCCGAAAGCAATTTGCATTCCTGAATGAATTTCCTTTTATTCAACAAAGAAAAGTTTAGAATTTGCCAATAGATCGGGCCGTTGCGTGGATGTACCAGATACTTTGTTAATTCCTTAATGAACTTAGACCCCAATCCTAAAAAACGCCTCCGAGGTATAAACAAGACTTTTAGTAGACATGCTTTTTTGAAAGTATTAAATCTTCCGCACGATCATTGTTAGAGAATTGTAACGGTCAATGCTGCAGAATGGCTATTAAACAAAAGATCCGGCTCTCAATACAGTTTATACTCCGAGTACGCCCAGTCACTTCCGGACTGTGAACTATTAGACTGGATGGGTCTCACCACGGTTGTTTTAGCAAATATCGTGTATCACCTTGAAGAGAAAAGTCAATAATAAATTATTTCACAATTAATTGGTCGTTGTGGTACCAGTATTAAAATCCATACAAAACTAACGCCCAAACATATTTAGACCGAAAGAGCAAAGGAGAGGTTTTGCCAGTAGGCTAAACCACTTGATCTACTACTACAGCAATCTCTTCCATTCACCAACACAAGAATAACATTACTTCTAGTCTCTCACGGTATTCCTTGATAATAACTATTCTCAACCTAACAAGTTATGAGCTAATAAAGAATACAAAATCCCCAGGCAGATAGATATGCACCAAGTATATCTAGTGTATTTACCTCTATATGATGAATTATCCAGAAGGGTAAAGTATTCCTAAAATACCCCATTTAGTATGGCGATGCGGATGACGAAGATGGCGATACGGGTTCGTTCAGGTGGTTGGACTTTTCTTGTTTCGGAAGCTTTCCCGGAGGTGTTGGACGAGGTTTATTTCGAAAATATGGATGGTTGAGAGCCTAAATATGAAAAATAAAGTGAATTATCAAAAAGTGTCAATAGGAGAGACGGAATGGGTCATGCACACAAGATGTATGTAAGTTCACCTCGCGCGTTGTCAATCTCTTATTCGGATCATAGCTGAGCATCTTTTCCAATAAATCCAAAGTGTCATTTCCGGCGGCGGTAAATAACGCTTTCAACGGTGTCTTGGGATACTTTTGAAACTTCATCTGTGTCAATTCATTGAAACCCTATTAAAATGTTCAGAATCATCGTTACAAAGAATAGCCATTGGAATTCCATTAGCGCTCATGCTATATGATATTTCGACCCAACGAAGCCAACCCATTCAGGTTCTGTTCCTTCTACTACATTTCATTCCACTCCCTCTTTAAACACTCTTACCGGCCAATCTTCTTCCGTCGGCGTTCCTAGGGCCCGAAACATCAGATCCAATTGCTCAATGTCTGTTTCACCGGGCAGGTAAGGTACTCGTAACATCAGTTCGGCAAATATGCAACCGACCGACCACATATCAACCGCATAGCCATACTGCTTGGCGCCGAAAAGAAGTTCCGGAGCGCGATACCATCTACAAGATTTGATGTGACAGGGTAAAGATAGAAAATAGCAAGGCAAGGTTAAAATAGAACAAGGAAAGGATACCCGAAATATACGCGAGATCACTATTATCAATAAAAGCATAATTAAAACAAAATATTTCTCTTTACAAGTTTCTTTTACCGCGTAACCACTTGAGTAGACATATTCTTAGCCATCGGATCCCCGAAATCTCTCGCAAGTCCAAAATCAGCTAGTTTTAACTGTCCATCCTTCCCCACCAACAAGTTATTCGGTTTCATATCCTGGTTTTCAGCATTAAGCAAAAGGCAAAAACCGATTCACTACGCTCATCCCATCGATTAAACCAACGTGGTTTCACAATGCACACACACACTCCTTCCCTACTCCTTCCTCTTACTCGATGTAAAATCCAGTTTTTGTGACAATGATCTAATCCTCTCAAAGTCATTAACATCCAGCTTTTTATATCGGACGACATGAACACAATGTTCTTATCTTTGATAATCATTTCGAGATCAGAGTCTAAATACTCCAACACAAGGTTGAGATTTGTTTTATGTGAAAATATATCTATCAACTGTTGGAAGTAGGAATGAAGCAGTTGAGAAATAGTAAGTTGGCGAAAGTGAACATGATAAAGCTGCATGCAAACGGATCGAGAAAAAAAAAAGCAACAGACTTCGATTATGTTCGGATGTTGCAATTCTTGTAGGCTTTTTACTTCTCTAATGGCAGATAATTCTATTCCATTAACACCCGCTTGTGATTGACCGAGTTTGATTTTCTTTATTGCGACTTTTCTGCCAGTAGCCGCTTCTTTTCCTATCGTTTCGTGATGTCATTATGGGTTTATATTCTATTGTAACTAAACGGTACAGTTTTTACCTTGATACACTACAGCATAAGTACCCTCGCCAATTTTCTTCTCCTTCACATACTTTCTCTCTATTGTGCTGTCGTCTTCTGTTAAATGCGACATGATCTAACTCGCATCGATAATCCGGAAATAGTAATGGTAATAATTGGCTCGGCGACCAATAATATTGCGTAATTTTCTAGTGCGAAAAGGACTGTTTTCCTAGAGTTAGCAGTCAAGTCAATTCTATTCTTCATGCTTGAGATTACTGCGAGTGCATTACGTCACATGATTGCGACGAATTAGATTGCGAATTCAGTGATAATTTGGTTTCTAAATTCGAGGGCTTCATCGATACTGGTATTGGATTTAATGAATTCCTATGTCTAGGCTTTTCGGCACGAATTGCAGGACCCAATGTATTCAGTTGTATAATTCATCGTATCATATTTTTAATGTGCTTGGTTGTAAATTGCTCTGACAATATTTGCGTGATCAGGAAAATTTGATTAATTATTTTCGTTTACCATTTCTTTTAAAAAGTCAACACTCTGTATTTGATTTTCTGATCGCTTTGTGTTTCAAATGCTAGTATCATTCCGGATTCGTGGCTCTTCTAACTTTTTGCTACATTCGGTCAAATTTAACACACGTTCGCGTCAATTGAGTGTGTACAAAAAAGATTGGCCAAATGTAGATGCTGTTTAAAAGCACAGCAATTATTTTTGTAAGTAAACGCAATTTATAAAAGTAGTTTTTTTTTTCTTTCATTCAGTATAGTTTCTCTGTTTATAACGTTCATTTTTTTATATACCAAATATTTTCAATATGATATGGGGCATGCTGCAACAAAACCAGACAAAGTGAACATTCTGTTATGTGTCATAAATGTGAGGCTGACTATGATGTGGCTGTAAAATTGACAGTGTGACTGATGACATTTTGAAAGTAATAATGGTGCTCATTCATAACTTATGGACTTGTTAATTTTAATGCTCACTTTATCATACCAGAAGGTGATGAATATAAACCATAACAGGAGTAATATAGGGTTACCTCTATATATAAAAATAAAGTATATGAAACTAATTTACATCAAATCCACTATGGAACCCAAGAATTACAGCACTATTCGAAGCATTCTAAAAAAAGAACAAGGAGAAAAAATTGCACCCTATGTTTTTAAAATCAATGATGCCCAAACACTCCAAGAATATCTGGATCAAGAAAAAATCACTTATGAAATTTACCAAGAGGAACGAAAAATAATAAACCATAAACGAACCTTAACAACAACTTATAATGAACCAAGAAAGAAAAGAAGACTGGTAGAATAAACAATCAAATCATTATTAATCATCATCCTCTTCTTCATCATCTTCTAGTTCAGCAGGGGAGTTTCATCATTGAGCAAGGTTTTTTCTTTTTCAAGTAGCTCAAATAACTGTTCCGCTTAATAGAAACAAAGCAATTCCACTTACTCAAGCTGAAGGATTATTACTTCTTCAGAAACCTTCTTGTTTATTATCCTCAAAAGGCTTTTCATATCACTTTTTAGCATGATTTTGTCCACCTAACTTTTCAGCATAGTACTTAATGATTCCTTCTTCAGTAAATTCTTTCCCATCCCCATATTTAGATTTATCTAGCCTTTTGTCACCATCTTTGTAATCCTCCATCTCTTTTAGGATTTGTTCTTTAAGCTTACTATCCACTTCTAATTCCTGTAAAGCAATAGTCTACATTTGTGATAAAAACATCTACTTCTGCCGGCAATTTCTTGGGCTCTACAATTGCTGCGTGGTCTTTTGTCATATGTTGTCTGTCTTCCAAAGAGAACCATTCTCGCATGTGCGCAGAGAGGTCAATGATCTTTGACGCTCCGTAGCGAAGAAAGACTCTTTCGACGGCTGTCGGTTTTGCTTTCCGCTTCATCGCTTCGGCATTCTTTCTTACATTTGTGTTAAAATATCGTCAACGAATGTGTTGGAGGATAGCTGCCATTTTTGTGTGTTTTCGTCATCGAGTTTAGATCGAGTTGAGAAGACATTTTCATCATCGTCATAATCGTCTCCATCCTCGTAATCGTCTTCGCCCTCGCCTTCACTTTCTTCATCTTCTGAGGGTACGAGTTTGAAAACAGGCGGCTTTATCACAGACTCGTTTCCTTCAGTGTGATCTGAACCTTCGCTCAGTGGGCTGCCGGTTCGCGTTCTCTTCCGCTCTCGTTCTACCGTGTCAAACTCTATGTCAGAGTATAATTGGAAGCCTTTCCGCGCAATCTGCAGACCAGATCGGAATCCCTTTTTCTGCCATAAGAACTGTTAGCAAGATTTAAAAGAGGAAATGGCAAAATGATTATGGATAATTAATTACCTTATCGACTTCTAATTGCATATCAACCAATTTAGATTCTTGATTTAGCGATGCAATTAGATTGCTCGTCTCCCAAAGTTTCATATTTCCTTGATCTTTATCAAATACACAAATGCAATTAGTCACCATCAAATAAACAAGTCCAGTGATGCACTTGAAAAAAAATTAGAGGTGGAGGAAGTCTACATGAAGCCACAGACGCTCGGCCTTCCCCCGCTGACACTCGGCCCATAGGTTTAGCTAAAGCAGGCGATCCTCGTCTGAACGCGCGGCTCAGCCACTCAACGTTTCCATAACCACGCACACACGGCGCTACCCGTCGGTTCTACACACGGCACAACCTTCACAACACTCGGCTGCCGGATTAGCTATGGAGTACGCTGACACCTTCAAGCTATGTAAGCTTTAAATTAAACCTATACTTTCCTTCAAATCCTTCCGCAGCTTATTGATTGCTTCATAGGCTGTTTGCGAGCTGTCTGTAAAAATTTTTTCTAGATCCCTCAGCTCGTCGGACAGAGCCGTATGGGAATTATGTTTGGTGATTCTACGAGAATCCTTTTGTTCTTTAATCCAGTAGAGATCCCAGTCGTGAACGTTTCCCCATAATCGAGGATCCCGAGACCAGTAATCTAAGAAACAGCCAGAAAAACTTAATATTAATATTTGATCATTGCGTTATTGCTAAAAGGCAAAATAGACTTGCCTGGATGCCGCAATTTTATATGATCTTTAGTAGAGAGGTGTTCCATGGCGTGTACGCGCTCGCGTTGTTGAAACTAAAAAAAAAAAGGCGATTAGGTGCTCAATTTCAGCCACAGGAATATGACGTACTACCGATTTTCGCAAGCGCGCTAGCGCCAAGTTTGGTAGTTTCGGGGTGGGACTAACACCAAATTTTTGGAAGTTTGGAGAGTTTGGGGGTGGAAACGCCAAGCGTGGAAGTTTGGGGTGGACTACTTGTTTGGAAGTTAGAGAACGTTAATGATGTGGGTGGTTTGCGCATGCGGGGACATAATATATCCTTGCAAATATTCTCAGGCTTCTATAAGCAGATCATTAGCAAAGCTGTGGGAGAATGTTGTGGGGCCGAATCACGAATATCACTATACGTGATCAGCTTTGGACTACTAGGATTAATTCTGAACACTGAGTATTTGGTCTCATGGACTATGTCAGCTTTCCCTTTGTCAAAAAAATGTGCAGGTGTCGTCTATGCAAGTGAATAAATCGACCAACATTTTCTTTTTGAAGCAGCCAAACCTGGCATTGTCAAAGCTCAGCTGGTTGCTAAGGGTTTGCGCCAGACTCTTTTAGAAGAATCATTTTTGAATAGCTCGAATCTTGACTCATCGCTCCAGATAATATCAT